ATAAATTCAAGAAGCAAATTTTGTTTGAAAATCTTGGGCAGATTTTCTGTCATGTGAGAGCTTCAGGTTGACAATTAGTCTTAAGAAGACTGTGATCATGTACCAAGGGGTGGAAGAACCAGTGCCTGACATCACTCTAGAGGGTAAATCTCTTGGTGCTTTTGACAGCTTTTGCTACTTGGGTTCTATGATCAGCAGTAAACTTGACCTTCAGACTGGACTGACTAACAGAAACGGAGAAGCAGCTAAGAATTTTGGGCTATTACAGGAACATTCAAACTATTACAGGAACATTAACTATCAGCTAAGGTAAACGTGCATATCTATGAGACTTGTGTGCTGTCATCCCTACTTTATGGTTCAGAAATATGGACTATATACACTAGACACCAGTGTTTCCTCTAAGCTGCGTGGTGTGCACGGCCGCGCAGGTGCGCCTGGTAGGGAGGCACGAGTGCGCCTGCACTTGCCACACAGCTTAGAGGCAACGCTGCTAGACACATCAGGAGACTGAACAGCTTCCATATGAGATGCCCGTGAAAGATCCTGAAAAATAAAATGGGAAGACAAAATGTCAAACACAGAGGTGCTGGAGTGCACAGGACTGTCACACTTAGAAACCACTAACAAGAAGAGGTTGCAATGGCTTGGCCACGTCAGGAGAGTAGGAGGAGACCATAACCCCACAAATATTTTGAACAGTGAGATTTGAGGTGGCTCTAAAATGCTGGGTCACCCTTTATGGCAGTACTGCAACACGTACAAAAATTATATGAAGTTGTTCAACATCAATGTAGAAAGTTGGGAGGAGCATGCAGAATCCCATCTGATCTGGAGGGAACATCTGACACTGCGTGCAGCTCAACATGAAGCTGCTTTGATCCAGAGGATGGAAGCAAAGCGAGAAAGAAGAAAGCAATGTGCTGTAAACTTGGTCTCCAACTCAAACAACACATGGATCTGTGAAACTTGTAACAAGCTGTGTCACTCTTGAATTGGGCCTGTCAGCCACAAGTGGATTCATCAGGCACCTGACTAGACTTCTTATATGTACACCATGAGCCAGAGGATCAACATTTGCCTATATTTACAAGAAGAAAATGTTCATCTCAGATAGAATGCATAACCATAAAGACACCTCAATCTTTTTATTTCATTTAAAATGCTGGAGAAGCAGGGCTGAAAAACTAAATCACTAGAGGAAGGAACCTGGCGCATTTCTGCTTGATCAGATTTGTATTTGTGTGTTGGGAGCAGTGATAGACAAGAAAGGTTTCCAGAAGTGACAGCATTCTTTTGAATACCTAGCAGCTTATGGACTGCCTTTAGCACATGCTCTTCATATAAAACAAGCACGATGTATTAACTCTCTGCAACAACAGTAGATATGCAATATGTGTGTGACACTACAGGCCTGAGCTTTTCTTGGTCCCTAAAGGGTGGATCCAGTGAGATAAATGTGAGGGGCCAGTGCTGTGGGATGATGAACACCATACGTTCACAGTGGGTTCAAGAAGGGGTGAGGATACTCTTTGTCTCAGGAGACAAGTTGTTTGAGCCCTACCTTTGTTCTTCAGACTATACAACCTTTGGTAAGTGCACTTTTGTGAAAGCAGAGGGTATGGTGGATGGTGAGTTGTAGCCACAGACATGGCAGTGAGAAAGAAGCTGTTACACCCTGCCAGCCCCACCCTCCCACCTATGAATACTATTTTTATATAATACTGTTATGCTGGATTGGATGCTTCTAAACTAGCGCAATTCCTGTGTTTATGGTGTTACATACAGAGATCTTAACCACAAATACAGGTTGCCCATTTAGGAACCACATGATTTGACACCAAAACTGTACCAAAGCCAGGGGAGAAGGTGGACCAGTTTGTTCCTGGCAGAAAATATGAAAACAGTTGTCACTGTGAGAAGAAAAGCAAAGTAAACAGTTCTGACTGTCTGGCTTGTTGTGGCTTCACAATCATTAATATCCACTCTAACTTTCATATACATTTTATATTAGTTCTTTTGAGTTATAATTATAAGCAATCTGAAAATGTCTCGCTTTCTTAATACTCTACAAATGCACCTAGTATATCCAGACAGCATAAGCAATGACAGCTTAATTTATTTTACAAAGATTTCAGACACCTGTTTTTATCAGAGAAATGAAACAACAGTGCCTCATATTAAATAAGTTTTGCACCAGTAATCTGACATTTGCAGTGTTCAGCACTGTTTAACTCTCACGTCATTAATTAAATTAGGAACAGGATGTGTTTAAAATAAAAGCAACATCCCCAATCATGTGCTGCTTGTTCCAGAGGAAATAGTTGTTGTAATAGAGTTTGAGATGTGAAAATTCCCATCTTCTCACCCCTTCCTTTTCAGTTGCCAGTGGTGATTTTTATAACATCCCATCACAGTACTGACTGCCATTCTACAGCAAATTATTGATTTTACTGCTGTTGGTGCTTATAAGACAAATCACTGGGACCACTGACTCTGTCTGTCCACTACATATCTCTCTGGAGCAGACATGTTGAATAACAAATGTCACTAGCAACCTCACTTTTTGCAATAGTCATATTAGCTGATTTTGATGGCAGACCAAATGATCTGCAAAACATTATAGTCTTTTGTAACTCAAATGGCAATATATGTAGTTCCACTATTCAAGTGGGTGGGTGCATAAACACTAGAGACAGAGGCATGCTCCTTTTTGAGAAACTGTCTCCTCTCAAGCTCTTACCAGTAGAAATCAGAAATTAATTTTATTAAGTAAAAAGAAATAAGCATAGTAAAAAGAGAAGAGAATCAAGTCCCAAATTTAGGCTTGGTCTGCATGTAGATTTCATACCTGTATAAATATTGCAGTTTGAATGTGACTTCTGTTTTTAATAAGATAGTTATGCTACAGATTATAACTCAGGAAAGTTTAATACATCCTGTGGATGTAGGTATTTTGATTCCCCTTTCCATATGGAATAAGCAATACTGGCATAAATGCATTTATATTTGTTTTGTCCACATGGGTGGGAGAGTGGTTATGCTGCTATAATTGTCTTAGTACACTGACAGCAGTAAAAACTGAATAGGCTCTTCACTTAAATCAGCACTGAGACACCATGTACACACACTTGAATCCCTAACAGTTTGTCCCATACACCAGGTGTGGGTACATTATTCTAAAAAATGCAAAACCTAAAGAACAAAATCCAAACTGAAGCATAACTGGAGGTTACTGCTAAATATAAATAAATGCAAACGAGAATATTCATGAGTCAGTTTGCCAGATGGTCCTTAACTCAGCCTTCTGTGCCCAACTCACACCATGATATTGGAAAATTAACAACAACAAACAAAAAGTCTGGTTACTACTGTTAAGAATTATTGTATTTACTCAAATCTAAGATGACCCTGAATTTAAGATGACCCCCAATAATTAGATTTGATATGTGAAAAATGTATAAAATTGTTATAATTTTCCAAGTACAGTAATTATTGAATTCAACCCCCTCCCCACTGCTCCACAGGGAAAGCAGTGGCTGAAGGGGAGGGTCAGACAGACCCCTTGCCCTCTGCCCCCCCACCTTCTTTCCCCTGCAGGCTTCCTCTCCCCCAAATGGCAACCCTCCACCTTTAGCTCCCCAAAGGCTTTGCTTCTTTTCCCCACCACCTCCCCTTTCTTTTCCTCTTTCCCCCTCAGTCCTCCCAGTTTTTGCCTCTTCCTTCCCACTCCCAAGTCTCCCTCTTCCCACCACTCCCCAGTCTCTGCCTCTTCCCCACCTCACTCTCCAGTCTTTGCCTCTTTCCCCCTCACTTCCCAGTCTCTGCCTCTTCCGCCCTCTCCCCCTTTACTGTCAGATGCTGCTGGGACTCTATTTCCTCCCTGGAGTATAGCACATCCCTTGCTGAACTATGCAGCAGCAGGGCAGGGGATGGAGCTCCACATGCTCTGTGGCCGGAAGGGAATCCAGCCAAAGCCGGAGCCAAGCTGTGCCTGACAATAAGCAGGGGAAGGGGGTAGAGAGGGGAGCAGAAGCTGCAGAGGGCAAGCAGAGGGGGAGAGGGCAGGAGCCTGCTGTGGGTCTGACTGTGGCCCCAACCTGGGCTCAGGGCCAGAGTCAGAGCTGCAGCAACTGCCTCTCCTCTCCCTCCCCCCCTCCCCCTTTTATATGCTAACCCAAGATTGTGGAAGGCAGGGGGTTCTCCATGATGACTGGGGGAAAAAACCTTGTCTAATTCTTTGTCTGCTACCACTAGGAATTTCTTCCCTCTACAATTTCACAGCCCCACCCATTGTTTTTCACAATTGCCATGGCTGCTTCTTTCCTCAGACCTGATGAAGAATGCCTTGCATTTGAAAGCTTGTCTAACTTTATCCCAACCACGCAGTTGGCCCAAGAAAAGATATCACCCAGAAAAATCCTTGCCTCTTACATAACTCCTAGACCATCATGGCTACAATGTCAGTCTGACACCATGTCACTCCACATTCTAGGACCTCCTGTTGTGTTAGATTGTCCTACCCCTACACTAGGGCAGAGGTACCCTGCACATTATAGTTTTGTGGTTAAGGACAGAGGAGTCTTATAGTTAGGGTACTAGACTTGGAGGTTAAGTTCCGTGCCCAGCTCTGTCAAACACTTTCTGTGCGATTGGAGGCAAGTGATTTAGCCTATGTGCTCCTCAGTTCCTCATCTATAAAACAGGAATAATAGTGCTTTCTTGGTCTATATTGCCTGTTTACATTGTAGTTTGTCAGGCAAACTATCTCACTATATGTTTGTACAGTGCCTAGCACAATGAGGCCCCAATCCCAGCTAGGGCAAACAACAATAATTTATATTAATTCACGTTCTAGATATTGCAAAGAGCAAAGACTTGAAGCTTATCAAAACCACAGTTGAACACTTCAGTAATATGTGCCTATACTGTGGAGCTACTGTAGGTGTAACACTATTCATGCATGAGCATTATACTTGATGTCTCATAACATCCCTTACCTGCACGGGTGTCTCCAGCGTGTAGATATGTTCCCCACGGACATTGTAGAACTTGACGAGCGCACTCTTCAGCATGGAACCGTTGCCAAGTTCAGCAAGCTGACTGTGCTTTTCCATGCCCGCAACAGCCAGTAGGTCTCCCTGTGTACACCACTGCACCACCACATCTGAAATTAAAAAAGGCAAGACCCCACTAGGAGGTGAAAGGAGCTCACCTTGCAAAGCACAGTAATCACATTTAATAGGAGCAGCCTTTTCATAAGTAGCTAGAAGCTTGAGCCTTATTCACTTTCAAAGCAGTTTGAGTTAGTACGGCACATACACATTTCTGAAAATGCTCCTAACGAAATGCAGTAGCTAAGTAAAAATGTACTGATTTATTTATCTTTATCTGTAGCCATTAGTCACAAAGCAGGACCTTGCTTTTACATGCGAGAGTCAGCAAGCCATAAACTTGGGTATAATAGAGGTTATAATATATTATACATATCAATTGCCTCTCCTTCTGGCAGATCATGAAAAGCAATGCCTACAGCTTCCTTCTGGGATGCTAATTCTGACTCCCCCCACACCCCCAATTTCTACCTTCCTGTCAGTTCACGTAAGCGAGCGCACTGGAATATTTGGTGTTTCTGCCTTCCATGTCAACAGTAGTTTTATCTGCCTGAGGGGTTCAGAGCTGGCCTTCAAGGTAAGAGGCAGAGTCTTATCCCTTTAAGGGAAGAGGCAACTATTTCAGGCCCAGACAAACTGTAGGCTAGACAAAACTTTTGTGCCCTGGGACACTCAATCTGCCATGAACCTTGTGAAGGTGTTTGTGGGCGAGAAGCTGTCTTCAAATGAAGAAGCAGGGGAGAAATGGGAGCTGGCAGCAAGGATCTCAAAATTGTTTTAAGTTGTCAACTTGTCATTTTCAAGGACTTTTATGTGCAATTTAAAATGGTTTTGTATTATTTCAACTGTTGCCTTGCTGATGATATTTCTCATGGGGATTATGCTTCTGTACACATTACAGGCAGGATGTTTGTTTCTCAAGAGGATTTTTTTTCACAGGCTGGTGTTCATGATGTGCCTCTATTTTCTCTCTTTGCCTTCAGTCCCCTAGTACAGAGCTACTTTAGGTGTTTTTATAGTGGGATTTATCTTTCTAGGCAAATATAATGTTAAGCACACTAGAAATCTATAAGATAAACCAGCCACAGTTTTAAGAACCAGCCTAAGTATGTATATACCCATGAAAACAACACAGCCATTTGGGTAAAGGTCTTAGCATGAGAGTCTGTGTTGCGGCAAAATTCATAGCTCACAAAGATGATAAGGGATGTAGTGGTTTTAAGACATCTTTTCATCCTCCCAAATGAAGGCTGCTCCCCTTCGCATAAGCCCTGGAGGCTTCAGTACAGCAGCCTCCCCATACTGCCCCAGGTGCTTGTGCTGAACAGCCTCTGCACACTGCTCCATCCTGCCATGTCCCTTTGCCACCTGCTCTCCCATGCCCTGTATAAGCCTCCATATCAAGGACTGCAAAAGGGTCCTCAGAAGACAGCTTCATGGCTACCATCCATAGTTATTGTGCCAGGGGAACCCTCTTGACATCAACTGGGTCTTTTGAGACCCCTTTACCCATCAGACAATGGCCAAAACAGAGGTGAGGATCTTATCCTTTATGCTTTTTGGCCTCTTTAATTTCATTTCCATCAAGAAAACAAAGTCATTAGTGTAGCCTGTACAGATTTCTGGGTTTAAGACATTTATCCTGTGCAGAGTTACATGCTACTGATGTAATTACTTTTTACAATCTAGATCAGGGGCAGGCAAAGTCCAGCCAATGGGCTGGATCGGACCCATGGCAGACTCCATTTCCCAGAAGACCCTGCCCGTGTCACTGCAGCCGGTTTCCATGGAGACCCCGGGAGTGTGAGGGCCGTGACAATGGGGGGGGCAGGGTTCCCATGGAGACTGGCTCTAGCCTGGGACATGTGAGCAACAGATCGCAGCACTGCTGTAGCTCAAGACCATGCTGTCACCACTGCAAGATCCTGGCCCTGGCCCCACTCCCTGCCCAGCCGCATGCCCTACCAGCACTGCTGGGGCCAGACTCCATGGAAACCATGGCCCCCACACTGTCATTGCCCTGCCACTCACGAGGTCTCCATGGAAACCGGCTGCAGCAACCTAGGTAGGGGCTGCTGGGAACTGGAGTTCAGCCACCAGCCAGATCTGTCATTTTGCCTACCCCAATCTAGATTGTGGTATCATCCAGGACATGCCAAGCAGTTTTCAAATGCAGAGGAAGGCACCAAACCTGCCTCGGGGAACTTAACATTTACACAGACAGGGACTGATGGCAGATGTGCATATGCCTGCAGGGAGATAGTCAGCAGAAGGATCAAGGCAAAGACTGGCCCATATCTTGTTAATTCATCTTTCTTGCTGATGATAGAAACTAGCTTCCCTCCTGCCACTATTAGCTCCTGACCACACTCTCAGCTAAAATTCCTTCAGTACTCTTTCCTTTTTTCAAGTCTACCAAAATCTTGGCTAAAATTATCCCCTTTGTCTATGGGAACCCCCTGCAACCTCCAGCAATGCCACCCAGTCAGCCTCTTCCCACATCTGTGACAAGAAATCTCCTTCTGCTTGTGTGAGGTTCTCCCTGAAGTCCTTGTCCAGTTACCTCGTGATTCATACCCACTGTAATGCTAAAAACATTAGCATTTGAAAATTCCTGATCAACCACAGTGTGATGCTCACAGGGCCCACCCCTCAGCACACAGCATCCATAGGGCTCCCTGTTCTTGTTTTCTCTTCCTGGCAGCCGGGATTCTCCTGCTGCAAAGACACATCCCTCCCTTCTGAGGCACTTGCCACAGGGTTTGGCTGGGAGGGAGAGCTCTCCTGATCCCGGCCACTCATGGGAGGTAGCAAAGGCAGTATCACGCAGGAGAAAGCACAACCTTCACATCATGTCATAAGGCTGTGATGTGACTGGGCCTGGGGCCACAGAAGGCACACAGTTCTCTGTTCTCAGCATGATGCTGGAACTGGTAAGTCTCTCCATATGGACTGGGACAGGCTGGGTATCACTGGGGCCTCATGCTTAGCAAAGGGAAATGGGGTCATCCCCCCCGCTCAGGTTCTAGCCCAGTTCCTGGCTAGCTGTCTCCCTTCTCTGCCTGGCAGCCACTGGGAAAGTCTATGCCTTTGTAGCCCCAGAAGGGCCAATGCTGCTGTCATTGACTGTAGTCAGTAAAGGATTAGCTATAAATCTTTATCTCCCCTTGAAATCTAGTTCTGAGACTCTCTGGAGATAAACACCAATGAAGAATGCATCAAGGGCCTGACAGTGACAGGAGCTCTGGGAGACTGGAGCCAAGGGATGAATGTGCCTGCTTGGCAGTTTTTCCTTTCTCTCTAAGCTCCTAAAATCACACTGCTGCACAGAAGCACAGGCTGACTAGACACTGCCCATGACCTTCGCTTGCTCAAAGATGGGAAATGGAAGTACAACCTCAAGGCTTGTTTTTTCCTTTAAATTAAATACTGATAAATCCACATCAATTTATTACCAGGAAGGTCAATGGAGAAGCCCAGGAATCTGTGAGAGAAAGGAACACAGAACATAGGGGATGCCTTTCAGATTGCTGAAATTCTTCTATCCAGGGCTCCAGGAGGATGCTGATCGTGCTTTGGTTGCAGCTATCTTTTTATGTAAGATTATATATAGTGCCTGTTGCTATGGTATCCAGGTGCCAATACATCTTTAGCAATTGCCCCAGCAATTATGGAGATCAGACCTACCCTCGCTAGAAGGGAAGCTATAAAGACACTTCTTCACTTTATGAACTTTATGAAGGCAGGCAGAACTCAAAGGAGGTGGCCAGGGCCCTGCTTTCACCTCTCATCTGAACTGGTCACCAGTGTTATCCAGACATATGATGGGTAATAAGCTGCAGCCCAGGAAGAAATGCAATAGCAGGTAAATGGCAGATACTTAGGAGCTCTGGAAATAATGCCTCTGGGATACTGTGGTTCTGTGGTACCCCTTACTGTGGATTCAGGGACACCTGAGCCCTGAAAGAAAAAATAGCTCACTGTAACAGACAACTAGGCTCAGGGCAACAGACGGGTAACAGACTAGCAGGTATCAGAGAATCAGCATCTCAGACAAAAGGTAAAATATACAGATTGAAGAGGACATCATGAAATGATGAACATGAGCCTGCAGTGCATAAACACGAGCCTGCAGTGCGATGCTGCGGCTAATAAAGCGACCAAAACGCTGGCTTGCATCCATAGATGCTTCTCAAGCAAATCTCGGGACATCATTCTCCCCTTGTACTCGGCCTTAGTGAGGCCGCAGCTGGAGTACTGCGTCCAGTTTTGGGCTCCACAATTCAAAAAGGATGTGGAGAAGCTTGAGAGAGTCCAGAGAAGAGCCACGCACATGATCAGAGGTCAGGGAAGCAGACCCTACGATGACAGGCTGAGAGCCCTGGGGCTCTTTAGCCTGGAAAAGCGCAGGCTCAGGGGTGATCTGATGGTCACCTATAAGTTTATCAGGGGTGACCACCAGTATCTGGGGGAACGTTTGTTCACCAGAGCACCCCAAGGGATGACGACTAAGTCGAATGGTCATAAATTACTACAAGACCGTTTCAGGCTGGACATGAGGAAGAATTTCTTTACTGTCCGAACCCCCAAGGTCTGGCACAGCCTGCCACCGGAGGTGGTTCAAGCGCCTACATTGAACACCTTCAGGAGCAAACTGGATGCTTATCTTGCTGGGATCCTATGACCCCAGCTGACTTCCTGCCCTTTGGGCAGGGGTCTGGACTCAATGATCTTCCGAGGTCCCTTCCAGCCCTAATGTCTTTGAAATCTATGAAATATCTCACAACCATTATTCAATCTGCTTTAGGGATGTCAGAATTTTCATGACTTTCCAGGTGGATGGAAAGAGGTATCCGTGTTTGGGAAAAGCAGATATTCTTCCAACAAGAGCAGTTTTATTTTTCTACATTATTCCAACATAATGCAAATGCTCTTTACTAAGCGATGATTTTTTTTTTGTACCTAGAGTAAAAGTGGTGTAACACCAAAAATATGTTGGTATTTCTTTAGGTGTGAAATAATTTCGCAAAGGCTTGTTTGGAAAACACACAGAGTGGTCTTCAGCAGCCTGTGCAGATCGAGACATCTGCTGCAGAATCCACAAAGCAATATTGAACGCATCAAATACGGACATGTGAGCCAGAGTTTACATTCAACACTGAAGATTATTCAATTAAAATGAGACACATCTGCAGGGTCATTATGTAGGTAGGGGACACAGCCCCTCAGTTTGTTTTTCTAAGGTTTTCTTACAGATGATAAGTAACAAAAAATCTATCTGTCTGTCTGTCTTTACAAGAAAAGACGGGTACAGAGAAGGCAACCAAGATGATCAGGGTCACAGAGCAGCTGCCATATCAAGAGAGACTAAAAGAGCTAGAATTTTTAAGTTTGGTAAGGAAAAGATTGAGAAGGAATATGACAGAGGTCTACAAAATCAAGAAGGGTGTAGACAAATTGAATAAGGAACTGTTATTCATCAAATCTCAGAATACTAGAACTAGGGGGCACCCACTGAAATTAGCAGGAGACAGGTTTAAAACTTACAGGAGAAAGTACTTTTTTATGCAGCACCTAGTTAGCTTGCAGAACTCATTACCACAGGAGGTGGTGGAGGCAGACAGCATAGCTAGGTTCAAAAACAGAATAGACAAATTCGTGGATGATAGATCCATTATAGCTATTAAACCAGGGGTGGGCAAAATATGGCCTAGAGGTCATATCTGGCCTGCCAACTGATTGTATCTGGCCCGCAGGTGGGCGGCTATGAAGTGATGGGATCCAGCCCACAGGCAGCTGGCAGCTCCAGCTGCTGAGTCATTCTGGGCATGTCTCGACCTCTTCCATAGCTTACACCAGCTCCTCTGCCCTATGTGCTGGAAGTAGCACTGGATGGACACCAACATCAGCTGGCAAATTCCAGGTATGGATTGGGGTGTCCACCCGAGTCCACAGAGAGACTGATGCATCAGCATATCAGCTGCAGTCCCGGGCAGTCGCCCTGATCCCCACTGGGAACTTGCAAGCACTATCCACAGCCGATGCTAGGGCCTGGGATGTTGTGGATTGCGGTGTGCTGTGACAGTTTGAGCAGGGGCCTGGGGCAGAGCCATGGCAGCAGATCATGGCTTTGCTCCATGCTCGGCCGGGATGGGGCCAGGGCTGGGATACGAGGGAGCAGCATCCGGGAGTGGAATAGGTGGGCAGGGCCAGGATTTCAAGGCAAGGACTACATGGGGCCAGGGCCCTGCAATCCCAGTCCCAGACCCGGGGCAGGGCATGGGACCAGGCAGATGGGATAGGGCTGGTTAAAGAGTTTTGGTGAGCTGCTGGTGGGGAGAGAAAAGGGGTGTTGACCCAGCCCGCAACAGCTCACCAAAACTCCGTGTGTGTGTGGGGCCCACGAGCCCAAATAACTGCCTGCTCCTGTATTAAATAGCACAGGTGGGGATGTATCCTCTGGCATCTCTAAACCAACAACAGATGATGCCAGGGATGGCCTGACAGGGGAAAGATCATTCTAGAGATACCTGGTTCAATGATCTTCCTCTAAAGCATCCACCCCTGCCACTGTTGGAGACACAACACTGGGCTAGATGGACCATACTCTTTTTCTTATGCAGAAAAAAATAATTGGAAACATGTGTCAGGTATCCAGGTTGTAGCTGTATTGGTCTAGAGGAAAAGGCAATCAGAACTCATAGTAGAGATGATATCTTTTATTAGACCAAAACGATTTTTGCAAAAAAAATTCTTTAATTGCTTCTAAAGAACTTTTACAATCTTTTCTCCAATGTCTGATGAAGGGTGTTTGTACCCGAAAGCTTGCAATTAAAGAATTTTTTTTGCAAAAATCTTGTTGGTCTAATGAAAATATCATCTCTACTATGAGTCCTGATTGCCTTTTGGAAATATGTGCGCACACACTGAAGCATCCCCTGAAGTGTTTATTAACTATGCAACATGCAGAGTCATAGATTGTGGGTAAGCTCCAGTAACACAGTGGTGATATTACCCGCCCAACATTTAGTATACACAAGTACTAAATGATTCCGCAGTAACAACTGTGCAGTCAGCATCTCATGTAGATGCAGCCCCTGCGAATTACCTTAGGATCCTTATGCACTTACCTGAATTCAGATGGAGTCAACAGGATTTAATCACATGCTTAGCTGCATGCACATGGTTAAGTGCTTCGTTGTAACTGCAAGTGCACCCGCTAACTATGTGGCTACTTAGAAGGTATAGTACTAATCATGTATATGAACAGCAGAATCTGGCCCTAAATTAAAAGCTTTATGTGAAGTATGTATTTTCCACAAAAATACATATGCAGATATTCCTCAGTAAATATTTGTCTAAGGTATTAAAATTAATCACTGGAGGTTCTCTTTTCTCAAAAAAAGACTTTCCACTTAATATTGTTACGCTGTTAATAATTCTCTAGATTCCCTGGTGTTTATATGGGTAGATTAAGCACAGTATTACAATTTACTTCGATAGCCATGGGCGATTGCAATGGCTACACAAATGACAGATATGATATCAAAGAAATTCTGTGTAGGATACAAGTAAAGCATATATTACATGTAAACATACAGGCATACACAGGGCTGCTAGGGCAGTAAGCTAAAAGAAGGTGACCTCATCAAATAGAAAATTGGCTACCCACTTATTTAAAAAGCAAGAAATCTAATAGCTGAGCATTGTTTTTATTCCAGTAGGTGTCACTGCTGACAATGGAAAATCGCTGTAGCAGGTAGCAGGCTGTAAAACAGAGACACTAAAACAAAAACACATACACAAATAATGAGGTGAAAAATACAAGAAGAAAAACTAGGTATGGGATATGGGGAGATGTCTCTCTTTAGTACCTTTCAACCCTGAGCGGATGATAGTAGGTGACAAGTCATCATAATTGTTCATTAAACTAATGTCTCCTGACGTGAAGCTGACAGTGAGTAGTGGCTTGGTGTTCTGCACTGGTACTGGATATGCAGCCGGACCATCTGCAAAAACAAGATTGTTGAGTAAGTAAAAAGGGCACTATCGAAAACAACTAAATCCAAGCTGAAACACACTGCTGTCCAGCCTGCTGTCACGCTGCATGGCTTTGAAACCTGAATTCTGCCTGGTTGTTTTTGATCATGAACCCGAAACAAGGCAAAATAGGCCTAGCCACTTAGCCTCACAGACTCAGTGATGTGCCCCCTCATTATCCAAAAGACGATTGCTCTTGGGATGTAATCACAAGAAACTCAAAGAGATGCATCCAAAATTGTGGGGAAAGTTTGTGTTCCCTGGCTGAAACTTGACTGTTATTCCCATCTCAGACTTAAGTCTTTCTCCCCACACCCATTTCATTCTCCCTGATGGCTCTGTGCATTTCAGTTAAAACTTAGCAAGCACTGAGTTATCCATGTTACCAATAGATGCTTGAAACTGCAAACAGGCATTTTTACTATAGTTTACCTGTAAATATAGTGTTTTACATCTATAATATGATATAATGCATATTATAATCATACTTAGAACTATTTGCTAGCTACATTTTCTCCTTAAGTGCACACTCCAGTTGAAGTCATAGGAGAAATCGTAAGTGCCTCTTAGAGTAACAACTGGCCTCTTACAGAATACAGTCCTTCACATGTTAAGAGCTAACTAATTGTATGCTCCATCATGACACCCTCTAACCAGAGTCCAAATATATCAGAAAGTCTAAAAACAAGAGAGACCTGAGCTAAGAGTACTTTGATGGCCATCCAAAAAATGCCTTTGCCTGTAGGAGTCTATATTTCAGTATTCATGCGATCTCCTTTTACATTTAATATTTAACGAGCAATAGCACCATCTGTAGCATTCATTATTTATTTATTTCATCATTTACTGTTCTGACAGAAGACGCTCCAGTCCCTAGATAGTCCCTGATTCTGTGGACCCAAACACAATGAATTTTGAGTAGTCAATCATGAAATAGTGGACTAAGAATGGCACTGCTTTCAGAATTTATGAGAAGGCTTATCAAAAAACACTTGAGAAAAAAACTGTCCTGTAACTGATACATTAAAAAAAACCATTGTTTTTAGATGAGTAACAAAGTCCATCCTACACATCTGTGTGAGTCAAAGGCTTGCCACCTTTGAGAGGTTTGTGAAGCACCTGTAAAGCTATAAAAAGAACACATCATGTTACAGTAATCGTTAGAAACAAGCTTGTAATTGAGTCCACCCACTCCTGACTGACTCAGCTGCGGTTAGCACGTTTTCTACCCCATTCAAGTTCATTCTGAATTATGTTAGTTTTCACCCCTGTTCCATCCAAATCCATTATTCCAAAATCAGAACCATGATATTGCAAGATAACAACAACATGCATTTATGCCTTTCCTTGTCCTTTATTAGAGGCTTCCTGGGAAGTCCAGAATGACTGGAATCTGTTTCTCTTATGAAGGCAAACCTCTACCAGCATTGGAGATGGAGCCTGTGTTCAAATTCACAAGGAAGTCAGGACAAAACTCAGATTCAAAGGAACTAAACTGTCAGCAGCTGATCTCTCAAGATTTCTAATGTGACTGGTTACAGGGGAAATGTACAGGGTTACAGGGGCATGTTTTCCCAAATGGAAAATGTTTTCCATTTGGGAAAACATGCCCCTTTTTGGACTGGACCCAAAGTGAATCCTAAAGTGCAAAGGCAGAGGTACTGGCTCAGATTCACCTTTGCTGAATATGAACATTTTTATATTTTATTTTGTCCCACCATCATTGACATTATGCCATAGATTAGTTAGACCTGATATAATGGAACGCAACAATGACCCAGCTACTCCCATTTCTTGTCTCCAGCACTAACCAAGAGCATCAATTTAGTATCTGATTTGTCTTTTTATGGCTGGGGAGGAGGCAGAGAGTATCCTGTACTTGCCTGAGAATGGACACATTGACTATTAGTCTTCCCCTAGTCCAAAAATCAAACCTCAGTGATATTACAACCTGATGGGGAGGGAAAGCGAGGGGAGGTTTACTTCTTGGCCTCAACTGGCAATTGAGGCAACTGGACTGAAGCATGAGTCATCTGAAGCATAAAAACTGATAACTCATGCAGCCCCAAACACCTTCTGTTAGCTGATGTAACTGCACCCTTTAGGGACTGGAACCATAGAAGTCCCCCTACAGAGCATGAGTGCCCCATGGCATTACTGTTATTGAAGGGGTAGCAAACGTTCAATGGAACAAAGCTGAATGCATCACTACCTTGTGGTGGGGAGTAGTCATCTGAATCTGTGTCACTTTCACTGCTGTCTTCCACCAGGAAGCTGGGGTAGTTCCAGGACATGCTGAGGATCCCATCCGATTCGTGCAGAAGCACGTGTGCTAGCATGCGACCATGGCAGTCCATGACGATGACCTGACCATCGGCGGTGCCAAAAAGAACCTGGAGATAGTAGAGCAACACCCTTAGCAGGAGAGAGAACAGGTCCACCACGTCATCCCCTTCAGAATTCTCAGAATACTTTTCTACCAATTAACCAGCTATGTGAAAATGAATCCAGAACACAGTAGCCATATCTTTCAGTGTGATCTTAGGGATAAGGAAAAAATACCTTCCAAGAATGCTGTGAAGGTGGTAAAGCACTCACAAGTGGGAAAACGCCAGAGCTGAGGCTGCCCATGAAACCTTAACTCATCCCTCTTGTGCATATGCATTAGAAAGTTGCTGCTGTTGACCTTAGCAAGAGCAGGGCTAAAGTGAGCACCTTGAGCCCACATGCCTGAGAAGGAGAAGACTGGACTTAAAAAGTCAGACTTATTTGGGCTTGCTGCTGTGAGGCACAGCATTAGAGCAGGGGTGTCAACCATATGCCCTGCGGGCCTACTCTAGCCTGCAGACCTGGGTCATCCAGCCCGCAGATTTTTGCCTTGGCTCTGGCTGTGATCTTCCTCCAGCAGTAGTGAAGTAACTGAGCGAGATCCATGGTGCTGGAGCCCTAGCAGCACCACAGCTTGTTCCTGAAGTGGCAGGTAAGCACCTGTGATATCAGGCCTCTTCCCAACAGGTCCCCCGCTGGCCAGACTGGGCATCCTGTGTGCTGGATCTGGCATGGGGGGGCCAGCTCCATGCCATTCATTCAGCCCATGGACTCACACACCTAACCCCCAAGGCTTTGACACCCCTACATTAGAGGAACTGAAAACCAGCAGGCTGGGCTGCATTAGTTCAGTAGTTCATAGCGATTGTTTGGTTGACTTTAAATAAATGTGGGTGTGTTCCTGAGTTACCCTGTCTCTGAGAGTACTTGCAAGAGAAAAAAAATAGTTATTAAATGGTGGCAGGGGTTTTAAACCTTAAATACCTAAAATAGTGGAAAGGGTAATGTTTCAGATTGGAGCTCAGGCCTACCATTTTCTATATTTTAAAAGAAATCTCTTGACATTATTCAAACCTGGCCCTGGTTGCCATTAAACTCAAACAGCAGAAGATAACAAGACTTTTTATGATGCCTTTAGAGCTGATATAATTTAAAAATCTATTGCAGAGGCAGTGCATGTCAGAAGCTGCTGTATCAACAGGTGCAGGAGGGAAGTGAGGTTCCAGCAAAGATTTCAAATGGCTTATGAGAATCATAAAAGTTGAATAGGGGAGGGGAACAGTTATTTAACTGATGAACAACTGGTTAGAAGAAGACAGGAGAATGACCTCCAAAGGTAGCTAAAGGCAATATGATCAATCAACTGGAACTAGGCCACTGCAGCCCAGGAGGAAGGGAATGTATTACGCATTCAGGAAAAGATAAAGGAGAGCTTCCACCCACAATGACAAATGCAAAATAGATGATGCAAGGCCTTTTCTTGTTTAAGATACTATTTAACCAATGTGCACAGACTAGGACCAGACAGCTTAGAACCTATAGATTTCTCTCCTTTAAGTGAGTTTGGTGCCTAAATATTTTGAAGAAATAGAAGGCCTGTATGCTGGGTACATTTCAGAAAGCCAACAAAAAAATAAGATGTAGTAAGAAAACATTGAAATAGCAAGAGCATTATTCAAGGCTGCTACCATGTGGGTCTACAAAAGACAAGTAGGCTTCAGGCAAATTAAAAGAGCCATTGCCAGCTAAAAATCTAGTCCATTTTCCAAATAAGTTAAAATAAATGTCAAGTACTACACCTCTCCTTTAACCCACTGCCTGTTTTTCTGTTTTACAACCACAGTTTTTCTAGAATTCAAATGTTGTTCTCTTTCCTGTTGCTATGTGAAACACACATATACATTAGAGGATAAAAACTATCTGATGGCACAGGGAAACCAGTGAGAATCCACAAATGAAATAAGCTGAGAAAAAAAAAAAGTCAGATTTTATTTTTTAACACTGTCCTTCAGTTGTACTTGTAAAAATGTACTTGAAAAAGTTTCAGGAAGCAGTGTGATTTCACAGTTGTCTGGTGAAAGGAGAAGACATTACTTCCCTTTGTGGGCTGATCAAGAACTGCAAAAGGCTTTAAGTGGGAGGGGATGATAAAAATTGGGAAAGAGGGGCAATCAGGAAAGTGTTTTATGAGTGTTGCTTTCTAAAAAAAACATTAAACACGGCTGACAAACACTGCTCTCACTTACAGTCATATAAGCCCAGAGGAACTTCAACCCAAAACAATACATGCTTTACCAATGGCAAGTTTATCACAGCTAGATTCTTAAACTCAATCTAGATCATGCTTTATTTATCTTACCACCAACCATGCTTGACCAATCCACTTTATTTAGACTGCTCCAACTTTGAGTGTGATCTGACTGCAAAATCCCTTGTTGCAAAGTGTACCTAGTCTAGCATCCTATCTCTGTTACCATATACTTCACAATTAGATGGAAAAAAACCCCATGATTAGTAGTTAAGGCATATACTACCTAAGGAAGACTTTCCTCCTAAATCCAGAGGTCAGATATTGGTTTAAGGTTTAAGCGCTGAAACTTAAGTGTTTATGCTCCTTATTTATTTATGATACTGATGGAATATTCTGGTTATTCATATCCATGTCCAATGAGCTTTTGGATCCTGCTAAACTCTTGGCTTCCGTGTTATCTTGTGGCATTTTAGTACCACAGGCCAGTCATGTTAAGTTAAAAATATTCTCCTTATTGCTTTTAAATCTGCTACCTAAGGGAACAAGACACGGGTTACAGGCTCTTTACAGTCCAAGTTCAAAAAACTTTCAAACATATTTTTTGCAGGCTAAATTCAGAACCTCCTACACAGGTACTGTAATCAAAATATGGCCTCTTCTAACCTTAATCAAGTTTTACAAAGGCAAGTTAAAATGTTTTTAGTAGCTGTCAGGAATTCTTGTTTTCAAAGTACAGTAAAAGAATTTCAGCAGAAGAAATCTTATTTTGTTCAACCATTATGTCAGGTAACAACCTACGATTTGTTTGAACTGAGGTGTGGCTCCTTCTGTCATGCATAATGATGCTGTGATGTTTGGACCAGAGTTTCAGCTGATGGATACTGGCATAGCTCCATGGAAATCAATAGTGTCGTAATTACAGTACATCAAGATCTGGTTTGCCAAGTTTCCAATTCAGGAAGCTCCCTCCCCCAATACAACTGTAATTTACAAACGATCACCTTAGTGTTGCCTAAATATATATAAAGAAAAATTGGATTGAATGCAAGCAAAAAGGATTTGTTAGTACCAATCCAGCCTCAACAGGGTTGTCACCCCCCCCAATTATTTTACTGACAATCTGCAAACTTTTTTTTACTGATAACCAAACTTTTTTTACTAACATACATTTTACATAATGTAAATGCAACCCTTCTGCCAGGATTTGGATGGCAGCAACAAGGATCAGGTTCACATTTTGGAGTTTAAAACCAACCATAGTAAAAAAGTTTGGTTGTCAGTAAAAAGTGTGCAGACTGTCATTAACCATTTTATCTCAGGTTTGCAACCCTGCTTTACCGCAGCAATGCTTTTAATGTGCTGCCCCAACCCCAAGGATCCCCCACTCACCCCAAACCTTATACTCCTGACCACACATCATGCTGTCCCCACTCCAGCCTTACCCCCACCAGCCCCACTCCCCTGATCCTGGCACAGACACCCACCAAATGCCTCTCCACCCTCTTAGCCCCGTAGCTCCATCCCAACTACACCCCTCTCCATGGTACTGCTCAAGGCCATATAGCATTGCCTACTTATAAGGTGAGCAGTGTTACAGGCAGGCAACAGGACTCAGCCAGAGCTAGATTAACACATAGGTAAACTAGGCACACGCCTAGGGCCCTGAGCTGCATAGAGCAGGGGGGAGTGGCATTCCTTCCCTCCGCATCAGCGGCCCAAATAGCCCCATCTACCTCCCTTCGCTTCCCCTCCC